ATATATATATATATTATATATATACTTATATAATAACAACAAAATAGAGAAAATATAGTATCGGTATGTTTCAAGGACAGGTTATTAACCCAATAAAAAGTAATAACAGAATTATTTATCAGACAAAATAATAGAAAGTTTAAGCAACATGAGCATTTAATCATATTTAATTAGGTCATTTACAAATGAACTCAGCTGATCAGGAAAAAGTTGAATTAATTATTAAAGCATATTAATAGTTAAGCACACAAGAAAAAGGTAAATATGGCAGAGATTCAAAAAGTTTGAAAGGGGTTTACTTGCTTGAATTGAGCCTGTCCAAAAGACTCCTAGGAAAGTTAAAAGGGGCTAGGGATAGTTGAATATTTTAAAATCTAGATACCACTTTAATTGGTGCATTTGAAGAGGGTATTATTCAAATCTGATACATAATGCAATGTACATTAAAATTGTGAGACAATATATATACCTAAATTTAACTCACCCAAATTTACACAATAAGAATATTTTCATATATAAAGAGTAAAAAAAAGCATACATTTCAAACTGTACTGGTATAATATAGTACATTTTCACAAGGTAAGAATACTGTATGCAAGACAGTCCTCTGTGAACAAATCTAATTGAATCACCAGCTCATTTCTTGAATAAAGAAGCTTAAACTTTAATATATGAGTATCTGTTAATAATGATTTATATGAAATGTATTATTTTGTAGTAATTAATGGGTACAAAGTGATGCTAAACAAAAACACCAATTAGCAATAAGAACTGCTTTTGACAAAAGTTCAAAGGGTAGTTGACGCCATTTTTATCGTTAACGTACAAACATGGTAGTTACTGTAAATCAATTTGTGACCAAGAGTAATTGTTAAAGTAGCATTAAGGGAGTAATGAAGACGAAGTAAAATTAGTTTCAGGCATAATTTTGTATAAATATAAATGAAACATTAAAGGCTGATTTGATGTTATTTATTTTACCAAAAACATCATCGTTTTCATCTACGCTATGCCTTGTTTGCCGTTCATAAAACATTGTTGCCCCACGTGAAGTCCGTCTGGCCAACACTGGACGATGATAACTGGTCAATTCATCTAGATACGACCGACATATTTAATGAGTAACAAATGTAAAGTTGATAAAAAAAATAGGCTTCATGTATTAAAGTGTTCAGGTGGAAACTTAAAAGTTAAATTAATAATTAAAATATAACTTATTTCTAGAGCTAAAAATTGAAAATCAGGACAAGAAAATACTTCCTTTGTTTCATCAACAGTGTATTTCCCAAATTACGTTCCTGTAATATTTGCATTTGCAATTTTTTTTGGTGTTATCACCAATGGAGGTATCATCAAACGAAAGCATACTATTTCAGTTTTTTTAATAGATAGTATGTTTACAGCCCAAATTCCAAATGGAACTGATTGCATGAAGCTATTACAAATCACCAAGACCGTCTTGGACTCAGAAGGTTTGGAAACTATAAAGCTCATTTTATAGGTGTAATTTTACCCTAAATAAAGCTCATTTTAACATAAAGCTCATTTTAACATTCAGTTATTATACACTCGCCAAACCCACATACATGACAACCAGTCTCAATAGTTATACGTACTGATACAGACTCAGAAATAATATATGTTTTAAAATCTACGTTTCACAACAAGAAAAAAATGTTTAAGAAACAGAGGTAGTTGGACATAACACAAAGTCCTCTGCAAAAACATTGCCGATGACACCAGCCCTTCTGCAGGATGGCTTAAGTCCTCCACAATGACTTCTACCTCTAAATAGAACTTAACAGAAACTATACACCGAACAAGAATAAATTCTTATTGTTGGAATTACCACTGTCAAAAGCATAAAAATTAAAAATGTAATTACCTTAATATTAAAAAGTTGACTAAAATATACTGCAAAACTGATGAATGAAACAATAGTTACTGTATATACAGTACCTGAACAGGAAATACACTTTCAAGCGTCATCGGTAATAACTTCCCATTTGTCTGTCGACTTTTAATTGTTTGTTTTTTTTAATATTATATTGATTTAACTTAATTTTCTTTTGATTGGTTGCGCAACTTTGAATGTATTCCCTTCCAGACATTCTAAAAATAAATTTTTTATCAGTAAGAGCCCTCCTCCTAATAGAACAACTATATACTTCTACAAATTTTGATACCAACACATTTTAATCGTTATAATTTTCTTTTCATGAAGTGTTAGATATAATGTGCATTTTTCTTGTTCAAATTTTTTACAAGTAAACTAGAAAAAAATCAAAAGTAGTCAACTAGAACAAATATCAGCAAAATTTGAATTAGCCAATTAAAAATGGGGTCGTATCCGCTAATAATAATAAATAGACAAAATTAAAAATTTGAGCAGGGAAAAACAAGATATGGGCTAAATATAAATGGACAAATATGGGTATGACAAATATAATAAGTGCTATGTTGACAAAAATACCATTAATTCAGTTGTGCATCTTTTTTTAATTATACTTGACAATATGAGGTGCTATATATTAGTTAAAATAATACTAGTAGAATGAGAACTGATGAAGAATGTCTGAAAACTCAAACATGTTGAATAGAATAAATCGATTGAAACTATTTTTGGATGACGACAATTTTAACAAAGTGCATCTGTCACATTTGATCACTACAACAATAGTGTTGATAGTAGGCTAACAATAACAGTTACCATTCATTATTACCAATGGCCATTATTGACCAACTGAATGTCAACAATAGCTTTAGAATGACGAAAGCTCTCCAAGATGGTGTCACAAAGGTGAAAATTGGGCATTTCTCAACTAGGTTATACCATTTTAAAAACTAAATAATCTGGATATGAAGCATAAAAACATTCCAAAAATTGTAGAACAAACTCTTCTCAACTTTGGATCATTACCATATTCTTTCTGTTAGTAAACACTCAGCTGGGTGCCAATAACTTGTGCTACAACCTTTATTCCCTTTATAGATTTTATCCTAACTCGTTTTGACAGCTGTCTGGACTGAAGACTATTGTGAAGCATCTTTCATAGCCCCAGGCTGTATGCATGAGGCTAGCTATTTTAGTTCTTAGTAGAAATTGGTGGTCTGTTGTGTCACCGAGATGGTGGAAATAGAAACTGTTTATAAAATTGCAAAAACAAAGTTTATAAATCTACTTATTATTATTAATTTTCATTTCCAAAATCAATTTTGATCTAAAATATGTTCCAATGACACATGTACTAAATACATTTTTGCTGTCAAATTCTTTTTTAACTTTCAAGTTTTGCCTAGAATAATGACCTTTCTGGATTTAACGGTCATTTACCGTAATAATGGATGAAACTTTTACTGTATGTAATGTCTTATGTTTTATTATTTGGCTCAGTAAAAAAAGAAAATATAAATAGGTGAACATCCTATTAACAACTCTCTATGATCACTTTATATTAAGTCCTACAAAACTAGAATTCCTAATATAATGATAAATTTTTAGATAATTCTAATATTGTTATTGGAAAATAGATCTTCCATTTTCCCCCTTTCTTTTACATAATGAAAATTTTATTAACCTTGAAATTAATATTCTTATTTGTGACTTGAACGATGTAAACTTCATATACAGTATTACTTTGGAAAATATTAGATAAATAGGTAAATGTATTACTTATTGTTCGTTCCTTCTTCGTATTACTAATTTATGTCACAATTTTGAATTTTTAGCTTTGTATTGCTAGTGGAGAAGAATCTGTTTATTTAGACAATAAAACTATCTTGTATCGCGAAGATAAACAAGTTGATTGAGAGTCGTTCAGAGAGAGTGTTAACTTTTGACATTTGGACATTGATAGACCTGCCTACATCATCTCCATAGGAAGTGTTTGCAAGCACCACATTGGAATGTTCCACAGACGGGAGGTGTACGCATAGCTCGCCAACAGCTGGGAATTTGACAAGCATACGATAGGGCTGTTAACCAATAAGAGTTGTTGATACTAATGCTATATAATTATGTAATTAATACAATATACGACAGTTGTCAGTGTAATGATCTTAATGAATTAGGAAAGTTAGATTCTACTGTTATAAAGCAGATTATTCCTCCTTTACAGATGCTCATAATAGCACATTATAACTGACAACATCACATCCAATCAAAAGCATGAAAAAATGTGGGATATTTGCACTTTGAAAAATATGGATTATTTTCAAATGAGAGTCAACCTATGAATAAACTGTCGTCTTGGAACAAGGCAAGTGACATGAAGAATTACTTTGATTTGGTCGATGTGTGACTTGACTTCCTTTTTCTATGGCAAAAACAGGAAGGAATGAAGATAATAAAACCCATTAGACTAGAAAATAAACATGAAGCTTAGAAGAAAAGAAAAATAAAGAGGATGGAAGAAATAATAGATGAGTCAAGATGATTTACCGTTAATGTCTACACATATTTCACAATTCTGAGAGTCTACCAGACAACGATCAAAACAATAATATAAAATTAAATGCTCATAAAAAATAATTAAAAAGTAATAAAGGGAGAATTAATAATGTACATTTAATGTCCTTATTTACTGACTTCTATTATATGTCATAATATTGACATTAACTGTTATATAAGTTATTTTATATATTTTCTATTTACTATTTCATATTTAATACACCACAGGGAATTTTTACAACAAAATCACACAATGAATAGATCAATGTCACTCTTGCAAAACCATCTTTTCAGAATGTGTGGACTAACACATTCCTAAGGCTACTACTATATTAAGGTAATCATTTATTGTTATTATTAGTTAAATGTTCATCATATGTACAGTATTGCTGGTATAAATAGGTTTTTTACAGCCTATTTTTATTAACTCAGTTCAGAAATGTTTAAAAACATAAAAATCACTGAAAACAATCCTTCCGCTTTTGCCGTTCACTCAGACTTGCCTTCCATTATTTTAAATTCACAAATCATGTGCTAGTCTACAAAATTAGTAACTAGCTATAAATGTGACATCAAAATAGCTACAGTATTTGACCTACATTTACCTGAGCTAAGAATCAAAGCGACTCATTGGTATCACATTTTACCTAGCAAAATGAGTCTTAATTAAACCTACCAACGTATCAACAGCTGTACAGGATCTACACATTGCTAAAAGGTAAATAAATTTGTTTGGGTTCATCTGTTTTTTGTTTCCAATTAAAACAAGAAAACAATAATATAGTAATTAGATTTCATCTTGACTAATTAGGAAAAGTAATCAATCATTTGACAAAATGCAGGACAGGAATGAACTTCTAAAATTACCATATTATTAATAATATATAGATTTAATGAAACAATATTCATGTATTATATAATAACAAAGTGGTTGCCAGGTAGCTTTTCAAATGTTCCTAATTTGATTATCATTTATCTTGGTTTTTGCCAGTACCATTTATTAATAATTTTGGTTTAAGCACTACAGGAAGAAAAATAAAAACAATACAAATTGTAAGTAAAATTTTAATATTGTATATATTGATCAATATATGTTTGTATTGTGTTGATTTTTGCTTCTCATTCTTGAAGTTTTTTGGAAAGAAACGAAATTTTATATAATAATACAAAAAAAGTTACATATTAAATAATTATGGTTCATAATCACAATCAAGTGCATATCAAGTGACCAGTAAATAAATTTAACCAAGAATCTTAACATTATTCCAAACCAATCACATGCTTCCATACCATTAACTTCTATACCAATTTCACCAACTTCACATCAACTATGTCATACATTAACACCACCTAACACATTCTCCACATCTTTCGTAATCTGCTATAATTTAATACCCATGGTACGCTGAAACAAAAACATAAATATAAACTCCTAACATAATGCAGATATAAAATAACAATAACTGTATGAAGCTTTGTAGAATCATTCTGAATCATTTTTAGATAATAAAAAAAAATGCAAATAATCAAAAACAAATCATGCAAAGTAAATCTATACGTGAATAACAGATTATGAAAACTGTAATGCAATCACACAAACATGTTTACTCAGTATGATTATCTAATTAAACTATTTGGCACCTCCAACATGCTATTATTAACAAGAAAAAAAAAGAGGAAAAATATTCAGAGGTTAATTGTTCAAGCAATCATATCTACTAATTAGCTACACTATAATATCATCACTGCAAGAATAATGGAACAATCCAATCCTCACATTAACTACACTAGAGTATCAGGCACAGTAATAATGGAATGTTCCATTGTGGACATTACCATTCCTATATTGAGGTACGTTTTTCTTAGCCATGTGTGGCTTTGGTGGAACTCTAGGTGGTTCTTCAGAGTCACTTTCAGGGTGGGGTGGCACCGGTGGAGGGGAGAACGCTACGGTGGCGGTATCATCTTGTGAATACGTTGGCTTAACTGTGAAACAAATTAATCAATCAATTATCGACTAATCAATCAAATATTTATTATTTTCCAAAGATATCTACAGACCACATATAATATATGAAAATATTTATGTCATAAAAATATAAAATTAAATGAAGAATATAATAATTTAACTCATGTAGATAGTCATAATCAGTTAACCCAGGTAAGGCCTATATTTCACCAAGTTACTGTCAGTTAACCAAGTTCACTGACCCATTTGAAACACCATTACAACTTAACCATATAAACTTTATTAAGCAAAGAATTACATTGGTTTCTTTCTCTAATAAAGATATCAAGGTTATTCTATTTGATTAAATTATTGTTATATTTTCATAACATACAGATAAATAATAATATATAGCTAATTAGCTAATTATTGATTAATTTAAGCTTTAGGTTTACTAACAAATACAACACTTATGCATGCAAAAAATTTGCGAACATGTTGGCCATTTTATATTAACATAAAGAAAAATAATAATGTGTATTTTTCGCAGAGGATATAAAAATTTAGAAATTATGAGATATTCTATCTTAAGAAGCACTGCAACTAAAGAGCATCATTTTCCATGTCAGACTGCTTTTAACAACACATCCGATATGTTTCTGAAATTCTTGCCTTGATCATGTTACAACATGTTTACTGCCACCTTAAGGCTAAAGCGAAAAAACTCCCAAACTTTGAAAATTAAATGTTAGCAGTGAGTTGTTATATTCCCTGCTGCAGTGTTAGAGAGCAATTTCCACATTATAAATTTCTTTATGTTTTATTTAATTCACTTATTATGTGTTATATTTTGGGAATACCTGAAATATCTAGAGGAAAGGATGAAATGATTTATCTATAGCATTAGTATGGTAGTAGTCAACCTAACAACCAAAATCAAATTAATTATACATTTGCATACTTCTCTGTTTTTATATTATAACAGGAAATAAAATCTTGCTTTGACCATAAATCAAGTATGGAATACAAACATAGAAAATGGACAAATTGATATTTATGTCAATTTGCATAAATATCCACGTTTTATATTTTGACATTTAAGAAAAGTGACAAAATTATTTGCCTGCTAGCATATGGCGGTAATGTCTGCCAGTGAAACGTAGACTTATGGCCAATGCGACAACCATTTTGAACATCAAATCACATCGATGGCAGACGTCTGTAATTGCCCATTATAATATTTAAATTAACACCCAGAAATCAAAATCATACATTCTATGCACTCACTATAAAATGAATGCACAAGATTATCGAGTTTTAAGATACTGTAATTATGCTAAACTGTCATTAAAACAGAGAAATATGGAAAATTGATATGAATATGCAAAGTGAATATTCAAATGATGTATTAAAATCTAATACCAGAGGGGACGTTACAGGCAGGTTGGACATAAATCGCTGTTCGGCCTTTCCTTCTTCTAGGTCGCCCTCTAGAAGGTAAAGGCGGTCTTCCACGCACGTGAATCAACGCGGTGTCGGACATGGAACCTGGGTCCAAATCATCTGTATAACGGCGAACTGATGATGAATGAACAGATGTGGTTAGGAAGAAAATGAAAAAGGAAAAACAAAACAAGCTGACATATTAAGCAAAGACATGGAAAATAACAAACACTAAAACTAATAAACGAAAATTAATGAAATTATATGAACATATAAAAGAAAAATAAATTAAAACATACTAAAGTATATAACAAACACATGATTTATAGTCTGACTTGTAATTCTTTCTCATTTAAAAATTTGTTTTTATTTTAAGTTTTCTAATTTTGGTATTGTTATTATATTTCACTGAGGGACAGCTGACATAGGGTTACTTTCCCATTTTGTTTCTACTAGTCAATCTTTGTCATCCTGATTAAGCCTTTTAGTCGAATAAATATGAAAAGAAAATGCAATAAATTTCTTTCTCTTTTTGTTCTATAATTTTTTGAGGATTTCATCTCTAATCATTCAATATTTCTTCATTGGTTATTGGTGATCTATACCCAATAAAAGGTTAATGACTTTGTAATGAGGCTTAATTTATATGCTATAATGAATTTCAAATAGATTTGATTTATTTTCTCCAGGCATTTATAATTACAAGATTATTTATTATTACTTACTTTTGTTTTAATTACACAGAATTTAACATAGTATGTAAGATTTTATATTAGTAAAAAATCCTAAAACACAGAATTTTTAAAATTATTTTCTAAACTAAATCGAGACAGAAATTAAGAAAACAAAATAAAACAAAATTTAAGAAATAAAGATCTAACAAAATTTAAAAGGAATAAAATCATAACCAAATTGAAAATGATACCTAAATTGATGTACATTTTATCAACCATAATAGTGAAAATATTCATCTTTAATAATAAAGCATAGAAAATTTTGAATATATAAGAAATATCAATTAATATAAAGAAGTATATAATCATCATGATAATTATAAAAAAGACTTATATCAAGACATAATGTTAATTAATGAGCTTTCAACTAAAATATTATTTAATAGCAAATACTAAATTAATAGTGAATTAATATCTAAATGTCATTAAAATAGTAAAAATTAATGTACAGTGAAAATAATAGACTATATGTGTCTGGAATTTTAATTCAAAATATTTAAATTCAAAATGCAAGTTTTGCTCAATCTGTATAATTATCAAGTCTATAGCCTTTGACAGTGATAACAAATGATCATCGATCTACGGCACTAACCTTGATTTCTTCGCTCATACATCATGCAACAATGTGTAACAGTTTACAAAATACTAACAATAAATTTATCCGTGAAGTAAAAGAACATAAAAATAATTCCAGAAAGAAATATGAATTTACAGAGGTGGTGAATCGCAAATGAAAATAATCAACTGTGAAGAGGTCTGTTAGCAGCTTGAGTCAGCTGTGGCAATGGTACAATATATGTTGCCTGTCAAATAACCTTTTCTAAGGTTGCAACATTGGTGATAAGTTCTGATGCTTCAAATTAAAGATTCATTACCTAAACATATGTTCTGATTCACTGGTGCATGCATTAGTAAACTATATAAAAAACTATACTAAATTAGTATAAAAATAGTAAACAAATTTATAATGTCATATCATGGTATGTCTACAGTTAGTCAATATTATTACATAAAAAAAATCAAACAATTCTATTCTACTATAATCAATAAACTATTCTAAAATTATAGGTGGAATGTGATCCTGAAAAAAAGGGTGAATTTGATGTTATTGTTATTTCAAAAATACGGTGAAGATTCTTAAAAATTATTTAGCTAATATAAATTTTTTTTTTAATATTTTTTTGCGATTATAATATAATTAAAGGATAAATATGGATTAAATATGGAAGGTTTTCATATTTGAAATGATCTTAAAATCTAAACAAAAAATTTAAATATAGTTTTTCCTCTAATTAAAGACCATGGACCTCCAATTATAGAACAACTCCAATTAAAGACCACCTCCAATTAAAGTCCTCTTTGAATTCTCAACACTTATCTTTTGACTTTATGTGGTCTTCAATTGGTAGAACACTACTAAATTCATAAATTGTCATAGAGGGCGCTATAGTAATAATGACAAGAATTATACTAGTTGTTGGTCCACAATTAATAGAAATTTACACATGAATGTTAAAATTCAAATAAACGAGGCTAAAAAGACAGGAGCTATGACGGAACATTGTTTTGTTTTTTGGGGGTTATTTTTTTTTTTTGGGGGGTGGGGGGAGAAGGAGGAAGAGAAAAGAAGTGGAAGAATGGAAAGGAGAATAAAGAAGTATATTCACCCTTAATACAGTACCTTTACTTAGCCCAAAGACTCACTGCTAAGGGGTGACTCTTTTTATACATTGTTTGGCAAACCCGCCGACTACAACTACTGATGATTTCGAATAAAAAAAAAAATTTATTTTTGCACAATTAGCGCACCTACCGCCACAAAAAAGTGGAAATTTCAGGAAAAAAAAGAAGTTTTTCTTTATTTTTATTCCGCCCTACGCTGCCTTGAAATCGCCAAAGATATAATATATGTATATTTCTTCCTAATTATATAAGCTTTTACCCATTCTATTTTACATTTAACAATAAAATTTTATTTTTATTTTCTCCTCCGTCTGGATGATTTAAGCAAAACTATTTGCTAAAGAATAAGAAAACAAAATTTTATTTTTATTTTTATTTCGCCCTCCTCCGATAATCTTTAAAAAAAATAAGTACGCGAAACATGGAATAAAATAAGTCTCGTTTAATGTTGATCTTTACTTTTGTCCAAACAAAAAAAAAAAACAACACAGCCGACTGTATATTTTCTAGTTGGGTCTTGAGCAACACATTTTCTCCCATTTTCTTTTTCAAGAATTTGTTACTTCCTGCATTTATATACATTTTACCATTAAAATAAATATATTTTGGTTATAATAAATATGGTTTTTCTATAAATAATCTTATATAGAGTATATCATACACTTGAAAAAAAAAATCAACTTGTTCACTGCACTGTTAGCTTATTAAGATAATACTGTATATATTATTAACAACTTTATTATTAATATAATATGATAATATTAATGTTATCTGCCTGAGGCAATGTTTATGGTGCATCTCTGCTCCATATACGCATATAAATTATAATATTCGATATTATTATTAATATTATAAAAGCATCTAACATATCATGCAATACAATAAAAGCAGATCAATAAAAAGAATTAGAAGTGAGCTTCACAAACAATTCTGTGGAAAAATAGTAATTTATGCTTAATTTTAGATTAAGATTTGTGAAATTGTTACAAATACAAAATTGCTATTAAAACAAAGCAAAAATTAGGAAAGAAAAATTCATATTAAAAACTTGATTATCTGTCGAAGAAACCGTTAAAATTGACTGGTTATGTATATAATATTATCCTACATTTGGTCACAGATGTGTCATTTCGGTCAGTTAACATGCATTCTAAAAAAATTAGCTTTTGACTTTAGCCTCATCACATGCCGTTAGCGGAAGAAGATGCTACGGCAAACCGTGAGACCAACCTTTCACATTCGGCGGTGTAGATATAGCACCCATGGTATACTGCTGGGGACGCGTACCACGTTTTGGTGGCACGGGTGGTCCTGCTTGCTTTGGCTTTGGTCTGATCACTTGCGGTTGGCCCTGATATATAGTTACCGGTGGAGATACGTCTTCTTCTTCGGTCTCAGATGTGTAAACGTGATAACCATGTCTATTATGATAATCTGGTTGACTCTCTTCGTAAGTATTGCAGGTAAAACGACCCTCGCTTGAAAAACGAGCCGGGGACGGGGAGCGACTACGAGTAATCTTGGTTACTTTGCGGGTCGTGGTACGTGTGACGGAAACGTTTGCTGGATTGAAACCCTCCAGCGTAACACCGTCCACATTGATGACATCATCATCAATTGTGACCGTGTTTGGATCTGGAGGTCCTGACATAAAAACAAAACACGGTTTACTTATATAGAAACAATGAAACAGATGCAATCTGTAGATATGATTCATAACAACTGAATGTATTATATATCCCCAACCATGTTTGGCATCTATAGTGTCAAAGGTTAATACTGTATACAGAAGGAGACGGAAAAATTATTTCATAAACAAATATCAATTTAAAACGTCGATACTGCAAGAGAAATTTGTATTTCTGATAAATAAATCCAAATAATAAACTATGTCAAGCAGATTTCTAAGTAACTAATACAACGTAAATATGAAACATACACCAGTACACCTACACTGGAATTTGGGAAAGACAGATTCTTCAACCCAATTATCTAACTACAAAGTTCTAATGTTTCCAGATGTTGTCTCTACTAGATTGGATTGTAATCTTCAACATGTTTAAAATGAAATAAAAAACTAAGTTTTAAGGATTTTTAAAATAGGTATCTGAAAGGTTGTACAGAAATGAACTCCGCTGTATTTCAGAATTTTGAGGAATTCAATCATGAGCCAAGACTGAAGATTAGAAACACTCTTGGCAACTCCTCCAAAAATACTGTTGATACGTTCTAAAGAAAATAAGGAAAACAAACGTTATTGAAAATGCTGTTGTACACTGTTATGTGTATTGTGTATGTGACTTTTTTATCATAAAAGTGTGAGGAAAAAAACCCCTAGAAAATTAAATTTTAAATAATACCTCAATATAAACAATAAATAATTTACCAACTTCCAATGAAAAAAAAAATTGAGGAACAAAGTGTATGCTTATTTATAAAATTTTATTTTAAAAATATTTAGATTGATTACCATCAAATTAAAAGATACAATGCAAGAGGTTCTTAAATTGTGGGGATAAATAAAGTTGATGGGTAACCCCCATATTTTGACTATTTATATTAAAGCCTGTTAAACCATTTAGGATAAACATCACCAACAAATAATTTCAAATCCCAGACATGAAACTAACAATTAATTTTATTTGGCTTTATGTTGAATGTCATCTTGAAAAACTAGTTCAAATATCATTAATGATGAGGTAAAGTACTGTCAACCGCCCTCATGAATTTTAAGTTGCTGTGATTAATTATTTGACATTATACACCAAGATACCTCATGGACACAGGCCGCAAGCAACATTTGTTTAATTTGCAAACCTCTTTTTATAATTATTGTTGGAATTAATTTATGAATGTTAAATACATTTCCTGACTTATTTTCAAAGCTTATAATTATTTGCTAATATCACTGTACTGTAAATTTGCACAAGCTGGATTAATTAAATTAATTAGACCAGATTTGGCCCGCAGGCCATACTTTGACAACCTATGGTCCAGGAACTGCATTAAATTATGCCTTGATTATTTGGCAGGATAATTGTTTTCTTATATATTCATTTGAAATTAAAAGCCAATAACATACTCAAAATCCTTAAATTGGCTGGTAATCAAATTTAAGGACTAAAGTAAAAAAATGTCTGTAAATCAGTAAAAAAAAAATTTTTTTTTTGTTTTTTTTGTGGATCTGTTTATTGTTGATTCTTTTAACTGAGCTATTCAAAATTATATTTGAATTTTTGACTGACAAAACCATATACCTTTAAATATTGTAATTCAAACACACAATATATAACATTAAAAAAGCTTCTCTGTAATTTTTAAAAAACACAATTTATATAGATTATTATGAGCTTGATAACGGACCTTATGAAAACATATTTCTCTGGTTCCTATTGTATTTACTATTGTATAAGGCACATGTTTATAGAAAAAAATTAAAGAATTCAGGTATCTTGGAAGCCAAGACCTTTTGTCAAGATCATGTGTAATGTTCATAAATATAACTACACAAATCATTGTACCCAGCTGATTCGCTGTTAATTCATGACTGACTTTGGACAAGGCTTGCAAGCACTAGGATGTAAAATCTAGGGGAGGTATGAAAATCAATGGGTCACTGGAGAGTTGGAACAGGTCTTGGTTCCAGAACAGAACCATCTCCTGTAGAGTACTACAAAGGGCTGAAAGGCACCTAAGGGACAATCTACTTCAAAGTAACTCCCACACAAATTTATTATAACTTTTTTCCTAATGAAAACTGCCAGAAATTTTCAAAACAGGACACAAGAGGAATGTTTTGAGAAACATTTCTCATCATGAGATGACCTATTCAACTGTTTTGATATATAGATTTTTTTTACATTCATATTTTCACAACCTCATATGTAATCACTGAATTTAAGATAGCTATAACCCAGAACAAATTTAAAATATTTGTTTAGATAATAATTCTGAATTGGAATACTGTGAATGTTCTATGTGGTATAGGTATAGAGGGTGCTAGACTTTATCATTACTGATATGATGGATAGACATGGCTTACTGTATGACACAAGGTATGGTAAATTGATAAAGAACTTAAGTAATAAAAGTGTAAAAGCTTGATTCAATTCAATTTATAGCAACAGATCAAGTCAAATGCAAGAACTGCTTTTACAGGCAATGTGGCAAGACGATGCTGACCTGATGGTGATGGTAACAAAATTTTGTTGTCCTCTGAAGTAGGACAAAAACTTGGGAAATTTGTGAACAGAAAATAATTAAGCAACTTGACTGTGTAAACTTGGGTTTAAACAAAGACTATGGCTTTCTTGCCGACTACAGGGAATGATTCACTCATTGTTTTGTTCCACCCTTCTGCTTATTCATTGTTATGTTAATACCTCCATTGTTATTATTACTTGCCTTTTGTTTTAGACCTTTTATATTTTATTGTATGTTGCTCCTCTTATCATTCACCTGAAGAAGTGTACTGTGTACACGAAAGCTTGTGACAATAAATATTTCAACTAGTCTATAAAGTGCTACCGTTTTCTTATTGTTTGAAGTAGGAAAGGTAGAATACCCCATAACTTGCAGCATCATTGTGCTGAATTTGCATATGGCTATGTGACTACTGTAGCAGCCGTAGAGAGGTGCTTATTTCACATCATTCCACAACAACAGGAGCTGAAATGAACCATAGCATCGGGGTAACTCCTTACTCTTCCAAAAGATGACGGGTTCTTTAAAGTGCACGCAAGCCAGATGTGTACACTGGACGTTTTTAAGTCCTGATCCAAGATGATTTACCAACTGAACCCTGGGTGAGGAGCAGCGCTTGGACCAGCGCCGATGTTAGAGCATAGCTAGCCACACCCTTTGCCCTATTACTCCGCCACTTAACTTGCCTAAAAACATACCAACTAAAATATTAGGAACATAAACAAAAGAATCAAAATCTCCCGCTCAAGGGCCAATTTATAGCATAACGATTGAGTTAAATGGGGAGAATTTGTATTACAACCAATTTTGCAAAATTAATATAGTTGTGTTCTTATGATGATGATGCAGTAAATTTCACTTCATCCTCTGAAGACCTTTCAAATAAACTTTGATAAACAAGGTAAAGCAATCTTTGATAAAACAGCACTGCTGTATTGACATTGAAGCTAGAGTAGTAGCCTTTAAATGTCCACAAAGCAGCTGTAAAGTGCCATTGTTGCAATTGATTTTTGCCCTCTGACCCCTATCTTTCAATCTCCGTCTAAATCTAATTAATTTTATTATGTGTTATCTCAGGCACAAAATTTCTTATGAACCTGTTGTGACAGACACAGCTTAATTCATTTAAAGGCACCAGTATGATATGAAAGTATGGCCTCTGGGCTAAAATATTGATGGAAGTTATATAGGCATACTACTTTACTTTTATAACAGATTTGACAGTGCATTAGGGAAGGGGTAAGTTTACTCAGGAAGAAATGAAATACCTGAAATATTTTGTTGACTTTATCAGATATAACATCAGAGATAACCTCGAAGTTAAGACAGAGAAAAAAAAAATGATACAAAATGAAATTATATATTGTGAGTGTCCATGATAAGGTATCTTTTCAATATATTATTTGTCAACCTGTTATTTCCTGGAAGGCTGAAATACAAGTTACAAACCATCTTCTCACAGAAACACTTATGTTTATTGGTCCGGTCTGCAACATCGCCCATAGTACACTTTGTTCGAAAAAGACCATGTTATTGTCTCACGACTTACTGCCCAATTTACCATAAGAAGGGCCTCCATTAGAAATATTGTCTTCTGGGTTTGTAGGCTATATCCTCAGTACTGGCATGCTTTTATGATTTAGTGAAAATCCAAAACTTTGCTGTGGTAAAAAATAGGATTGAAAGGTAAAAGATCTCCGAAAAGATGACTGACTATATTTCCATCGAGGCCTATAGGACCTGCATGTCAGGATTATGAGGCCAAGCCTTGATGGTGTCCAGAGATCACGAACTAGTCCACTCTCCTTGAAATTACCCTTCCATCTCTTCTTATGCTTATGAATCCTTTAATTCTTATCTTATAAAAAGCATCTTCTGATGACAGAGACATCACCCTCAATGGTATGCATTCTTTATAGAAAAGGATCCTTTGGTAGCATTTTATCTGTTGGTTTTGATTCTCCTTTACATGGTTTGCCAGAACATAACTACAGTAATCATATCAAGTAGCTGTAATTACAGTGCTGTACTAAGTTTATAATGGACTGCAATTTTGCCAGAGGTATCAATGGTAGATTCTGTACTCATTTAGAGTAAATGTTTGAAATGATGGATGTTTACAGATGGAGTTGTAGGTATGAATTAATACATACATCAATCACTGCTGATAGATTATGTACTAAGACAATGGAAGATTTAAACAGATTACATGATGAATATGATTAGTACATGAATATATGAAAAAAAAACAGAATATAAGTATAGAAAATGGTATTTTTGATAGGATTTGCAAAGATCAAATTCTAATGGTCCAATGGAAGTATCAGAAAAGATATAATTTCGAATAATAATGGCTATAAAATTATTTTATAAAAATTGTTTTGTAAAATTTGTACATTCTATAATTACTGTACTTGCATGGATGGATCATGGGAGCAAGAATTGACAAAATTGATGATTGGAAAAAAAAATTAACAAATTAACTTTAGAAGATTCATTGGGGTAATAACATTAAAATATAATAACATGATCTTGAATAAGTTGTTTTAAATATGAGCTAAAAATTGTAAGACTAAGATATCCAACAAAATAAAGCTCTCCTGAATATTATTAAAGAAAAGAATAACTATATAATATATATGTCATATTAATGGTAATCCAGGTGAATTGATGGATAGATGACCAGATGACTAGACAGTGGGTAATGACCAGTGAAATTAACTGACTCATCGATAATAACCATCCTCCCATCACCGGATTTACTTTGATAAATGCGTTTATATAGCCCCTCCCACTTCTCCATCCACCGGTACACATTCACAAAGCTTGACACAATGCTAAATGAAGTGCACCCTCTTTCACCATGCTGGCAAAGAATTCCTCAAGGTTATTGGATGGATGTTTTTTTTTTTTTTTGTTTAGTGATGAAATTAGCTAAAAAGTCAAGAGCGTTAGGGTCGTTGAAATACAGCTGCATGAGCAACAGTAATCAATTAAAAACAGATGCATGCATAATTACCTCAACATCAAACAAATTTCAATCTCTCATGTTCACTATTATGGAAATTGTAAAACACATCTACTGAAAATGCTGCAACACATTTTACTGAAGAGGGATATTTAATAAATTTGCTACTATTTGCTTTTTTTCAAAAACTATCCTTTTTACATGAAAAATAAAATAGTGATGATCTGGAAGATTGTTATCAAAGCATAAGAAGTGGAAACATTAAATGGCAGAATACATTTAAAAGCTTCATTTTACTTCTATAAGAAACAATCTTTATTTTTTACTAGTCTGTTACCACTGGTATAAAGGATAGTTAAAAGCAAATAGTATACCTTCACTAAAAAAAGTTTCAAATCCTGGATGTAACTAAACAATTAATTTTATTTGAGCTACAGTAAATAATATTGACATTTCTAGACTTGACTAGGTATGACTTAAAGACAGGCTCCGGAGAGAAATAATTCTTGATATGCATTACATGCTCCCAATATTTAAATATTAAAAATCTGTATCCTATTATGGGAGCCATTCCAAATTATTTCTTTTATTATTTCAACTCCATAGAATATTCATTTGTACAACATTATCTCAACAACTGTTTTTCTTTGTAGCCTAGTTTTAACATAAATGATTTTGAGTTTTGGAAATCTTCTCAAAGACTTGGAAAAGAGATAAGCATGCAAAACTTCAGCTACAAAATATTTTTTACTGCACATGGATAAATTTAAATGATAAAATTATATTCTAGAAGACTAATTATGTGTAAATAAAATAGGAAATAGCTCAAGTTTTGAAAATAAGTGGGAAGGCCTTCCCAAAGTCATGGAAAGGAGAGATAAGTAGAGTTAAAAATCATCTCTCAGTGTAATATTAGTTTAGTTTAATGTAATGTCTGATAATTTAAAAAGACAGTAAGTTTCTATAAATCAAACCAAAATAAAAATTTAAATAAACTGATTAAACATCTTTACTATACCATTTTAGCAAAATTTGAAATGAAAATTTCCAAGAACCTAGCAACCCAGGACTTCCATTAGGCCTAGCATTTCACTCTACGTAGTTAACACCATGGCCTAATTAAATGATAAAACTAAATTACTAATGAGCACAAATATTTTAAAATGGCAGTGCTGTTTCAAAATAGGCCCGATGAAATGGTGTATACACAGACCAAGCAAACAATTCTCTATACATAAGCATTTTATTATAATTGAGTTAACATAATAACTCAATTAGCAAGTTCATAATACACAAAGATTTAATTGTTTACTTAATTAAACCTATCCATTAAGACATATTCAGACATTACACCAGTCATCCCATATATCGACAACATAAACCTTTGTGTTAATCAAAGTTGCTTAATTATAAATAGTTGTGATTTTGGGGCTTTGAAATTCAATGTCAGTATAACCATATGTTATTGCCTGACTTCCCTTAACATCTACTTTTATGTAGGTATATTTTTTCCCCAGATTTTGCTGTGAAAAAAATGAATAAAGTAAATAAAATATAAACACAATTCAGCGAGTCATACTTTGTGGCACCAATGTGTGGAGAGGAAGACAGCTAGCCCCCACCAATTTATGCTAATGTTGGGGAAATTGGCCTTCAAAATGGTGACTCCCCTGCCCTCGAGTTACCATTAAATCCATTTCTTTGTGAATGAAAAAATTAAACTCAAACAATATTTCTGAATGATAATAATGCACCCTACTTACACACCCTTTCTTGCTTTTGAATTATGTTGTATTGACATGACTAAATACTGTATTTGTTAAAAATATATTTGATTTGAAGTAAAATTCTTCTAATCGCTAAATTCACAAACAACATGACTAAATCGAAACAATCGATTGAAATGAATAACAATAGCCTATCAACCCATCTCAACAATCAGCATTAGTCCACTCGTGTACATCTCAGGGGAGGAATGAAAAACCTTTTACAGGTAATTTAAATCAACAAAAATCGGGTTAACAACATCGCAGTGGATGAGGTTAATAAACTTGACTCCATAGAACAACCAAACAGGCGCAAGACCTGTCCAGACTATCAAATTTCTTTTGACAAAAACATGTGACATGCCTAAATATGGTAATGATGACATCACATCATGACCATATATAGGCACATCATGACTATATATGGGCATAGAACAGTTTTTTGTTAAATGAAACATTTTAGTCTGGACAAGGCTTCAGAGATTCCATACTAAATTTAAATATCTATTTTTTTTTGTATATTTTACCAAATTGTTTGCAAATTTGATGAGTCATAATGTAAACAAATTAACAAGAATATGGGTAGAAATTTTAAAATATTTTTGTAGGGCAATGATTTATTGTGTTAGTCATAGATGCATATGGTATTACGTGAGTAATGATTTATCATAACAATCCTTTTCAGTGGGCTTTTTTTAAATCAAATATAAACATGATCAGTATACTAATGATAATGTAAAGCAGTAGCTAAGAGTCCAGCAAGCTCCTGTACAATTCACTACTCAAGCTTTAGAAACTCATATTACAGTAAAATACATAAATCCAAATATTCTATTACAAAATTAGTTGCAAAATGATGTCTCTGACTAAATTAATATATATATATA